CTGCCATCCCGATGCATCGGTAGTGAGGGGAGGGTTGGGGACTACATCATCCGTCTCGTGGATCCGCTCGGTGGTTAGTTGTATGAATTTGGTGTTTCGAGCAGGCCGGTTCGGAACCCTGAGAACCCGGTAGTGTTCATGGACGTATCGGTTGGAGGCTCGGCGATAGGCCGTATCAGGATGGAGTTATATAAGGATGTTGCTCCTAAGACTGTCGAAAACTTCCGTCAACTATGCACTGGGGAATTCAAACTGAATGGAGTACCTATCGGATACAAGGGGTCAACCTTCCACAGAGTCATACGAGATTTCATGATACAAGGAGGAGACTTCGTTAAAGGAGATGGGACTGGAAGTTTGAGTATATATGGTGAAAAGTTCCCTGATGAGAACTTTAAGCTTGCTCATGATTCCCCCGGTAATATCATTGTAGATGTATTATGTATACTGCAAGGGCTCCCTCTGTATTAGTTCAAAACTCTTATTCACATTCAGGCTTGCTATCAATGGCGAACTCTGGTCCCAATACTAACGGTTGCCAGTTCTTCATAACCTGCAATAAGTAAGGCAAACACACACCATCGTCATTCACTGTCTAACTCTATGGATCAAGTGTCTTACTTACCTGTACTCTAGATGTGACTGGTTAGACAGTAAGCATGTGGTATTCGGGAAAGTATTGGATCAACAGAGCATGATGACTGTAAGGAAGATTGAGAATGCACAGGTGATAGATCGTAGTATCAAGCATTCCCTATTCTAAGTATTTCATGCGGTTCTACGATGTATCGTTCTCAGGTTGGGGAAAACAGTCGTCCGAAGTTACCAATTACGGTATCGGAGTGTGGTGAACTCTAGATCATCTATAGTGTACACCACAATTATGACGTTTCCTAGTCAGCCATGTTTGAGGTGTTCTCTCCAGTCTCTTAGAATATTGGTTAATTGAGTGGATTGTCTCAGTACCCCTTACTGCAGTCTTCTGTATAGTATCTTACTCGTGTTAAGATGAAGCTCTCGTTCTCTATCAAGGCAAGGCCTAAGAATACTCCTAAGCATCCGAAGCATAAGCCTGTACCAACGACAGAGCAGAGTAATATGTTCCGTGGTCGAGGGCCTCACTGTATGTGGTATATTGTCAGGGACTCGTCTTGTTAGCATGTCAGCATCTGGTGTGATGAAGACAGATAAAGCACCCGCTCCAGAGCATAAAGAATTCATAATACCATGTAAGAAGACGAATGGTGATGTATTAAGCATACATGGTGATGACTGCTTTTAGGTCTGCATCGGTTAGAGCCTAAGCAGGGTAAGCATACTATACTAAACGCCCCTATTGAGGCTACTACTATCAATCCAGGAGCAAG